GTACTGGGCGGGTGAAACGCAAGGAAGAGGGGGAGGAGGGAGGAGGAGGGGGAGGAGGAGGAGAGGAGGAGACGCGGGGCACCGTCTCTTCAAAACGAGGACCCAACACCACAGGATGGTTGGGAATTAAGCATAGTCGAAAAACTATTCAACAAGAGTCAATCATGGTAGAAACATCGCCCCCAGACTATGTTTTTTGACTATTCTGGAACATTCCTCCTGTAGAGGGACATGCCCGACTTAAGCCTAAACGCGAGCAAGGGTGAGACGGAAACCGTCCGACGGAGGCGGCGGCGCGGAGGTGCGCCAAAAAACGCAGATGCCACGGGGCCCCATGTCGCGCGGGGGCGGCGACTCGGGAGCGCCCTCCTCGACGGCAGCCCTGGCGGCGACGCCAGCGGCCCGCCCCCCAATAGAGGAGCAGACAAACCGTATGAACATACAATTGACCCGAAGACAATATAGCCCCTTTAAAAAAACATGTGATCCTCCGCCGGCCAACACACCCCAAACCATACGATCACTCGAGGGTGCCCCCCCCCAGGACGCACAAAGAGCATCCAACAGACACGAAGAACATCGGGGCACCCTCCTCGAACCGACCTCGACCTCATACCTCGGCTCGACTTTCGGGGAATAAGAAAGCTCTATGAACATTAGCTTTCGACGGTCCGCGCGGAGTTCTTGGAACCGCGCCAAGATCCCCCCCCTGGTGCGCGGAACGCGCCGGAGACGGCGCCAGAGGCGCCGCCGGGGGGACCCCGGCGGCTCAGCGCCGATGCAAGAAACCCGAACGGAACGTCGAACATCTATGTATACGTTTTTTGTTTTTCGACCTGTCCTGACGGTCCTGCTGCCCAACTCGGGTCACAGAGGCTGGAAACAACCGAAAACCTCCTGTGCTGTCTTTCACGACGCTTCTGGGTGTGGTCGCGACGCCGCCCCGCACCGGCTGCCACGGGTGCAGCACCGGCTTGGCCGCCCTGGGCGCCACGTTGCGGTCCCCGCTCTGTGCGCGCTTTAGTTCTTTCCCCTTCTCCCGCGGCCGCTCTTCTCTTCACCCTTTGGGCGTGAATTAATGGGGGGCGATACGTGGGGGAAGACAAGGTGCCCTTAAGGGCCCCTTTTCGGCAGCCCTCGCCTCCCCCCGCGCCTCCTATTGCGCGGCCTCCGAAGCCCATCGCTCCCCTCTTTCATCCGGGCAATTCGCAATGTCGTCGCCCAGCTTGCCCGAGCGTGCGTGCGGACTGCCTCTGCCGCGCTGCGACGTAACACTCGTTTATCACAAATCAGCAGTTTTCAGGACTCCAACAATGGGACGAACTGCGCACGCGCACGTCGTCGCGCGCGCATGCCGCAATCCTTCAAAAACCTGGGATTTCGAAGCTATTTCGAAATCGCGCATCCCAGAAACATTTGTTTAAAAAGCATGGCTTCGAGACAATAACCTTTTAAACAAGCTTGCGCCCACTCTTTTGCAAATTCTGGAGAACACCATAGGCTTTGTCATCTTCGTCGGCATGATCAGCATCGGCGCCGTCACTGGCCTTGCCGTCGTTGTTGTCATCATCGTCGCCCGCATCGCTATTAGCATCCTCGTGTCTACCGTTGTCGACGTTGCCATGGTCCCGCGCCCGCCCGAGTCGCCGACTCGCACTGAAGTGCCCGCTGGGAAGTGCCAAACGGTCAGCGCCACCGTGGCCGCGTTGGTCGCGCCAAGCCGCTGCGTGCGCGAGCATGCATGGGCTACCGCGGCCGCAGAGATGCACCAGCCAACATCAAGCACTCATCGCAATCGCCGCCGCATGGGCTTATGCAAAGCAAGTTGCGGGTGGGTGGGTGGGATGATTGCGGGAGCAGCGGAATTGACAAGTCACTGCGAACATACATTACACATCACGTCGATTGCACCAAACATGTTGCTCTACATAGATTGCACAGCGTAGATTGCATCACATACATTGCACAACGTAGTGTGCACGACCTATATGGCACTACAGAGACTGCACGCCATAGGTGGCCTGCACCACATCTTTTTCACACTATATACGGCGCGGCATAACCTGCACGACATAGTTCGCACCACGTAGACTGCACCAAACATTGTGCACCACATTTGCTGCTCCACACGGCTACATCACACATGTTGCGCCATCTACTCATGGATGCACATCTGTGCACATCGGTGTTACGATAATAACGGCGTCGCACCACACACACCGCGCAACATATATTGCAATTCGAAGATTACATACACTGGCCCACATAGGTTGCACCGCATATATTGCTCCACATGGTTAGCACCAAACAGATTTCTAGACAGGCACTATTTGGGGTCCACGCTGGCTGATGTTGTTTGTTCTCAGAGAAAATGATTGGGTGGAAATCGCATCTGGCCCGATTGGTGATTCTTGCCAGGATGCGTTGGTTCCCGCCTGCTAGCTGTGCGTCCTGTGCGGCGGTGTCGACGACGCCACGCCCCTCTGCTTGCGAGACTGGGGTTTCACGTTGTCCCGATCGCGTGAGCGCGCAGCCACCCCCCGACCTCGCTCGTGAACGAGCAGAGGGCTCGCGCGGGGGCGGCGCGCTGGTGGCCTGAGCCGGACCAAGAGGCGGGCGAGCTGGGAAGCTGGGCTCGAGCCTCGGCGGCTTCGGCGACGGGCGACTACGCGTTGGCGTCAAAGGGCGGTGCGCGAGGGCCACCGCAGCAAACGGACGTGGTGGCCCCGCGCTGCGGCCCCCTGGAGGCGGGACTGGGGCCCGCGGAGGTGCCCAGCCGGGCAGCGCGCTCGCGGCGAGCGCTGAGGATGCTGGGTCCACAGCGTCGTCGGCGCGTCTGGGCCGACGGCGGGCGTGCGCGTCAGGGCGGCGTCGCGGCCTTCTCCTCGACGGCAGCCCTCGTGACGGCAACACCCGCCCGCCCCCCGTCCTGCGGCGCCGGAGCAGCCTCGCTGACCAGGGTCACGCCGTCTGGGCCAGAGCTGGGCTCTGGAGTTGGAGGCTTCGGCTCGGCCGCGGTGGCACGTGCGCGGCCCAGGGAGGGGCTGGGGACGCAATTAAAGAAGAAGAGGCGCCATGAAATCTGGGGAGATATCATGATATCCACCCCCCACTAGTCATCACCCCCCTCGTGGCCGCTCCCGACCACTCCCCGGGACCTCTGCCAGGGTGCGTTCTGACCAGGGGCATGGGGTACCTTTGAAGGGGCCCAGGGACACACAAATAAATAGACACGAATCCCAGGAACCCCAATACGTTTCCATATGTTCTGGAGTTTTGTCTTCCACTCTTTGCCGCCTTCGAACCACGCCCGACTTAAACATACTTAAAATAAGAACAGGCGCCCTGAAATCTGGTGAGATATCATGGCCCCTGCCATGACATCCCCCCCCCGAGTCTTAGGTCGGGCATGTCCCCCTACAGGCGGTTTTTGGACGAACAATGAAAGATGGTCAACACATGCTCAAACATTATAAATCAAGTCGTCCGCAGACTATGTTGAAACTATTTTGAAGATTTCCCCTCTAGAGGGAGAGGCCCGGCTCAACCCTAGTCATCACCCCCCCCTGTGCCGCCCCCGAACCACACCCCCGGGTGCTCGGGATGCATCGGGGGCCCACAGGGCCGGCGAGTCTGGAGCCGCGGAATGAAGTCGGGCATGTCCCCCTGCAGGGGGTTCTTGGGCGAAACATGCAAAACAAACGTCAATCAGTATGAGAGAAATGATAAAACATAGCTAATGCATCGTCACCAGACTATTTTAACTATCTTAGAATATTCCTCCTGTAGAGGGACGTGCCCGACGTAAATCCAGAGCGCTCTGACAGCGTTCCGGAACGCTCTGAGAGCGTTGCAGAACGGTCTGGGGCGATTTCTCGACAAATCCTGGGCCTGCCTCAGTCCAAGCACATCCCCAGACCCCCGACGTCGTGATTTCTTCACAACCTGGACACCCTAGACGTCTTGACCCCTTCCCCAGGTTAGGCTTTTCATCCCGAGTCGCTTCTTGACGGCCCAGTAAGCCTGGCGACCAAGACCCTGGGAACTAACAGCATTTGTAGAACACCTTCCGTCATGATTTTTTCACGACGCGGTAAGGTCTAGTAGTTCTCCAATCGTCGTCTCGTCGTCGCCGTCGTCGTCGTCGCCGACGTCGCCGCTGCCGCCATCGATGAGGGGCAACGTCTGCCTGGAATCGGCGACACATCGCCGATCGATCGGCGATAGGCCCCCGACTGCAAGTCCGCGCGTTCCTTGGCGGGATGGGGCCACGGCGCCCCTATCGGCGATGAATGGGCGACTGCGGGCCGGTGCTTCCCCCCGGAACCAGTCCCTCCCCTCTGGCTTCCGAAGCATCTCTTCAATCTCCGGCGGCCCTTCGGGACGATCCGGGCATCTCGCAGAACGCTTTCGGCGAGGCGCAGGTGCTGGAATGCACTCCGAGGTCGGGAAGCCGCTGCTAACCGATGACAGCGTTCGAACACCGCTTTTGACGTTCTCCCCCCCCCTCCCACCTACGATTAGGTCGGGCGTGTCCCCCATGCAGGGGGATGTTGGACGAAAGTAAAAAAATACCCCAAATACCAAAGACTAGTCAAGCATGCTTCAAGAATCGTCCCCAGACTATCTTTGGACTGCTTTTGAATTTCCCCCCCGAAGAAGAAGAATAAAAAGAAGAAGAAGAAGAAGAAGAAGAAGAAGAAGAAGAAGAAGAAGAATAAGGACTTCTACCTGCAACTGCACTCCTTCGCCTGTCTGTCTTTTTGCTCGCGCTCTGCAAACAAATTCGGTACACAGCCTGGCTCAAGCACAAATCAAGCTGCTCAAGATATCGTGATATCAAGAATTATGCTTTGAAAGTGCGGCTGGGTACAATGACAGATATTATGAGCAGCTTGGGTTCTACAAGCTTTCTGCCTTTACGGCGTCTTCAGGAATCGAACCCTAAAACGGCTATGGAATGTTTAAGCTTATAAGGTCCACCACATTCCCCGACCAGCCTACCCGCGAATGTGTGAAATTATGTTACGGCTATTGGTACAAGCAAATCTGACTGACTGGGCCGTTAGGTGTCTCTGTACGTGTGCAGGGATAGAGACGCACTGTTTCACCCTACACCACGCCTGTCGGTGGTGTGGGAGCACTAATGTAAGCACGCGTGCCTGCTCGGTGTCCGAAGCCCGAGCCTCCACCTGAGCGTGCAAGCCTAGATACAACATGCGATTCGAAGGGTCGAGTCCTCGAATGGCCCGGCGCCATTGTTGCCCCGAGTAGCCCCTAGATATGATTAGCTGGCCGAATTGTGCTAAATCGGCCATGGCCCGCGAAGCATCCGCATTGTGAGTGATACGACGTTTTGCTTCCTGTCGTATCCACGAAAAGGCCAAAGAAGGGGCATGATGGCTACTCTGGGGGATGTACGCGTGAGGATTGCTAGGCTTGCAATACAGAGAAACGTCCAGGATACCCGAATGGACCCATCTTCCAGTCTTGCTAAACTGAAGGTCCAAAAGCACAGCCTTAGACCGGGACGTGGCAAATTTATACACGAAATGGCACTGACCTAGCGGGGTACAGCATGGGGTATTCAGAAGGGCTTCGAGTCGTAACAGCTCCCTGTCGGACCCAACCCATACAAATAATCCGTCATCGAGGTATCTCGACCACGATTTTGCCAGGATGCCCGGGTGCTCTTGGATGCCACGATGTTTTTCGTAGTAATAAGCGCTTATGGCTGCCACCTGGGGGGCGCAATCCAATCCCATTGCCACGCCGCGCCGTTGGCGGAATGGCGAACCGTCGAATCTGAAATAATTATGGTTTAACAGATGCTGTAGGATGTACAGGATCAGATCTTTGATGGGGCCGTTGATGTAGGAAGCGTACATATGAATGGCCCACGACGTTGCCTGGACGCAGAAATCCACGTTGATATTCAGAAAGAAATCTTTTATGTCGAACTCGACCAACACCGACTCTGGAGGAACCTCTAGGCTCTCATACGTATGGATAGTCTGTTTAGAGCTGCAAGTAACTCCAGGGAGTTTTTCCACTATGGGTTGAAGGAGCTGCGCAATCCAAAACGCTGCTGGTTTCCTCCAGTCCCCCACGGAATTGATAATGGGTCGTACTGGTATCGTCTCCGTGGGGTATTGTCTCAGGGACTGCATGCGCTTCATATCGATGTCACTCTGCTTGTGTAGCTTGTACGTGCCTTGGAACTTGGCGTAGAAGAAAAGTTTCACGCCTGTCCGCATATCCCGCAAGAGGGTCGCCCAACCACCAAAAATGAAGTAGAAGATGCGATGGGCCCAAATTCCTGGTATGCCGGAGTGGTCTTTCAGCCAAGGTCCAAAACGTTCGAATATATAATTCCACTCTGTAAGGGCGGCTCTTTCGTGATCAGGGTCAAGGAGGGGTTGGTAGAAAGTGTCGTCGGCGAGATGTGTGTTTCATGTCTAGTCTGTATTTGAACACGTTCTGCACGATCAAGGCCTGGAACTTGTCAGGGGGACCAATATGTAATAGGTGCTGCTTTTCTCGGAGGGCCCTCAGGGGTCGATGATCTCGTACATTTGAGCGATACCTGATGCCCCCCTCGTTCGGTGGATATGGCGTTATGGCATCGAAAACGGTTGTTTTCAGATCTTTCAACCATCCGTTCACAACATCTGGGTAAGCATAGTCCTGAGCATTGTGTAGCTTTGGAATCCAAGTCTTGTTAGCCATTGCTCTGAACAGGGCTGCCTCTCGACCAGAAAATGTGTCGGCGTGTAGCCGGCGACGCCGTGAACCTACCAGGAGACGCCGATCATCTGCGAAGCCTCGGTCGTCGTCCCACGCGGGCTCGAGGAAACGTAAACTCGTATCTTGGGCAGCCGCAGAATCTTCTAGTTGATTTTGCACTTTGAAGTAAGCGTTGAGCAAGACAGATCTTTCGAACCGATTCCAACCAATATTGAGAGCACTACGGTATTCCGAAAAAGTCGGGCTAATAGTGAATTTACCGCCGGTGCTGCCGAGGAAGGTCATGATGTCAGGGCTGACCCCTGCGAAATCGAAGACCCCTCGGGCCTGAACCCAATGGCGAAGATGTGAAACGGACAGCTTCCGTAGAAGGATTCTCATGTAGTGCTCCACGCTGTGGACTGGCTCGTAACGAGGTCGATGGCCAGAGATGCAACGGGCTAGGCTCTGCCTCTGCCTTTGCCCTTGCCCTTGCCCCGGCCTCGTCCTCTCCCTCGTCCACGGCCTCTCCCACGACCCTTCGAGCCCGTGTAGTTGTTCAGGGCGGTCTGGTCGTAGGAGGTGGACGTCTTGCCCTTGCCCTTGTCGTAGCCGCGGCCCTTGCCGTAGCTCTTGCCTTTGCCTTTGGAGGTGTCCGCCGAGCTTTTGCCAGCGGACCGCCCTTTGCCGCGACCTTTGGGAGGTCGCCGTTCGTTCAGTTTGCCACCACTGCTGGTCTTGCCCTTCCCGCGCCCCTTCGACGGAGTCGGTGGTGCTGACGCGGGGGGCCGTACGTTTTTTGGCAACCTGCACTGTATGTCGTACTCTTTGCTCAGCATCTGGGTGACCGATGTCATGTTGTTCGGGTGTGCCACGTCTTTGGGCTTTCCTTTCGGGTGCAGCGCGAAATTATGTTCCATGGACAGCCGGAGTGCCACCTCCTTCCCGTCCATGTGCTGCAATTGTTGCTTCGCCTTCTCAACCTTCTCCTTTTTCTGGGCGAGTCGCAAAGCCTGCTTCTCATGCTGCTTCAGAAAATCACTGGCAGTATGGTGAAAAGCGTGAAGAGCAAATTTCCGCGCCAATTCGATCCAGACTTTGTTTTTCTGCTGTGTCGACTCTTTGTCCGCAATACCCAGGATATCTGACATTTTTGTAGAATTGTAAGTGACCAACTTAATGCATTTATCCACCAACTGTTCCTCTGTGAGAAGATCGTTTTGAACTCTCTTGGTTGCCTCCACCACCGCCCCGTAGTGGAGAGCGAAGAGCCTGAGAGGGCTAAGGCTGCCCGATGCCCTCTCCTGGTCCTCGATTGCGTTGAAGTCAGCCGCAACGGTGTCGGGATATTTAGGTCTCTTGTCCTTGGTCGCGATGGTCTGGAAGGCTTTGGGGATCTGCGTGGCCCCCGTGATCGACTGGAAGGTGTCCGAATTGGCTTCGAAAATCAATATGCTTTTCCATTCCGTTGCTTTGGCCCTAAGACGTGCTACTGCGTTCATATTGCGCCACAATTGTCGTACGAGGTCAGAGAGTGCTTTGCCATATGGCTTCCGCAATTCTTTTGCCTCCAAGTCGTTCAAGCAATACCATGTGAGGTCATCAGTATTGTGGTCGTCGGGCACCTCTTCGGCCAGGTCGGCCGAAGTGTCCGCGAGCCTGCTTCCCAGACTCCGGCTGCGTTCCCGACGCCCCTCTCCAGGTCTGCTTCCTGATGGCGGCATTGTGCAGGAGATAGAAAATGTGTGTACCCACTCGAAGAAGAATAAGGACTTCTACCTGCAACTGCACTCCTTCGCCTGTCTGTCTTTTTGCTCGCGCTCTGCAAACAAATTCGGTACACAGCCTGGCTCAAGCACAAATCAAGCTGCTCAAGATATCGTGATATCAAGAATTATGCTTTGAAAGTGCGGCTGGGTACAATGACAGATATTATGAGCAGCTTGGGTTCTACAAGCTTTCTGCCTTTACGGCGTCTTCAGGAATCGAACCCTAAAACGGCTATGTAATGTTTAAGCTTATGCTTATGCTTATGCTTATGCTTATGCTTATGCTTATGCTTATGCTTATGCTTATGCGTATGCGTATGCGTATGCGTATGCTTATGCTTATGCTTATGCTTATGCTTATGCTTATGCTTATGCTTATGCTTATGCTTATGCTTATGCTTATGCTTATGCTTATGATTATGCTTATGCTTATGCTTATGCTTATGCTTATGCTTATGCTTATGCTTATGCTTATGCTTATGCTTATGCTTATGCTTATGCTTATGCTTATGCTTATGCTTATGCTTATGCTTATGCTTATGCTTATGCTTATGCTTATGCTTATGCTTATGCTTATGCTTATGCTTATGCTTATGCTTATGCTTATGCTTATGCTTATGCTTATGCTTATGCTTATGCTTATGCTTATGCTTATGCTTATGCTTATGCTTATGCTTATGCTTATGCTTATGCTTATGCTTATGCTTATGCTTATGCTTATGCTTATGCTTATGCTTATGCTTATGCTTATGCTTATGCTTATGCTTATGCTTA